TTGAAGGAGGTGGTCACGGGGGACGTGACCTGGAAGGGCGTATCCTTGGGTCCTACCCCTTCCTCTTTCTGGCTCTCTCGATTTCTTTGTTTCTGATTGCCGGCTTGAGCAGCATTCTTTGGCCAGGCCCCTCTACCATGCTGTCTCTGAATTAGAGCTAGCAAACCATGGACTGAAACTTCTGAAACCAGGAGCCAAAATAAATGCTTCCTCCTTTAGGCTGTGTTTGTTGAGTACCTTGTCCCAGCAATGAAAAGGAGACTAACAGATGGCCCTAAACTAACCTATGTCCAAGATGGCAGGTGTCCACTCAAGTCCATCTTACAGTCATCAGTCCAAAATGGGATGTGTATGACCTTCCTTGGTGTAAGGCTCCGCAAGCAAATCTCCTGGGGAAAAGATTAGGGAAAACACTACATTATGTGATTGCTATGCCCTTCTTTGTGATGATCTGAACTCTCTTTCAGTGAGTCCACGAGCTAAAGTTTTCAGTCCAAGAGAGACATCAAGGCTGGAATCAGAACAAAGGTGAGGGATTTTCTATTATGGTGGTTAATTTAATTTCTTTGGGTTTGAAATACTGTATTGAAGGCTGCCATCTCTCATGCCCCGGGAACAATTCATTCTATCGGCCACCTCTGCAGACCTCTGTGGATGAGGACCCCGCCTCTCGTCCAGCTCTGCAGCCTGTGATGGTCATTCCACAGCCTGGGTTGCGCGGGTGACGTGTGTCTACCTGCCAGCACCTTTGCTGGGGGAAGCAGTACCCTGCCCCCCAGACTAGATCCCCACCGCGCTCCGTGGTGCTGGGCTCCCTAACTCCCTAACCAGTCCTCATCACGTGGTCAGCAGGTGTCCTGCGAGGCCTCCCAGGCAAATGCAGCCAGGGCTTCCTTGGTCTTAGCCAGCAAACCCACTGCAGCAGACTCACCTCCCTCGCCTTAGGTCCTGCCTGCACAGTCTGCTCTGGCAGCTTTAGCCCCTCCACTCGGTCATCAGGTTGATGGCCCATCATTTCCTCCACTTCTACAAAGCCATCCCTCCAAGGCCTGGCCCAGGAGCCTTGCCAGGGTGGTCCCGTGCAGTGGAAGAGCGCTCAGCACAGTCCAAGGACGAGGGTCCACCTCACCCAGCACCATCAAGGCCCGCCAGGGCTCAGGACCAGATCTTGCAGCCCCTTCCCGCCCTCCAGCAGTGTGGCCTCCCCCAGGTCTATCCACACCAGGATTTAACCTGCCAAGTGCCCTGGTGGTGAGGAGGGAACGGAAGGGCACAGCCAGGGAAGACAAGCCACGTTTCACAAAGCACGTGCGTCGTTGAAGGCTCTGCATAGTCTGCCAAAGCCAGGAGGGAAGACTGTGAAGGGAAAGGGCTGCTTTCCTGGTTGTAGAAATTCAAAGGCGTTTGAGTGTTTGCAGTTTTCAACACAGACACCCACAGACTCCCACCCAGCCTCCAAGGGTCCACCCTGCCCTGTCAGGGCTCTGACTTGGCCTGAGAGGCTTTCCGAGCTGAGACTTCAGACTTCTCTAAACTCCACCCTCCCTCTGTGGTCCTCAGGTTGGGAGCCCCCCAACTTTAGAGGAAGTAGAACTGATGCCTCCAAGGAAACCCTGCGACTTGCATACCTTGCTGGATTGATGACTGGCAGCTCCAAGCCTCTCACAGCCTCGCAGGGCCACTGTCCTTCGGTTACTCTGGCCTGTGGATGTGGTCTAAGCATCTGTCTCCATCCGTATTTCTTTCTGAGGTAACCAGGGGGAAAGCGCTGTAGCTGTGTGAACCTGCACCAGCAACCTGCAGTGCCAAATCGTCCCCCAGTGGCAGTCACCAAGGCCAGCTGGCCAACGAGTAGGGGGTGTGAACTCCCAGGAAAGGCAGTTCCTGCCACACAGGAAATTCTGAAAAGAAGGGGGAGGCATTAGCAGACAACACTCGGCAATCTAGCATTGGGTGCACAGGTCAAGGGCGCAGGGCTGGGAATTGGTCCATTGGCTACAAAGCAGAACCTAGCTGGTGACAAAGGACAACATTACTACTCAGAGGTCCAGAAGCATCAAGCAAGGGACACTGAAGAGAACCTGGACACAGAGAGACCTGTCGTGGTTGGTAGTCTGGCCAGTCACCAGGGGACGCCTGGTCACCGAAGAGGGGACAGCAGGGGACAAAGGAAAGATATACAAAGAACAAGAAATAAAGAGTAAAGAATTAATGATAGTTTATTACTTGGGGACCCGGAATCAATCCTCCTACAGGCTCTCTCCTACAGGCCATAAACTCTGGATTAGTCAGCATTTAGGACTACACGACAAGACAAAGGGGCGTGAAGGCAGAAGTAGGGAACAGCAGACTTAATGCACTCATGAGCCAGGCTGTACAAGAGGAGTAACTTTGTATTCTCATGAGGGACAGGTCACAGTCAAGCCACTTGTGGTGTCTTGCATGTCATAGCTAATGAGAGCCACCTGCACTGTCTTAGCCAACGTTTGATCTTGGAGAACGGCCGCAGAGTCCTAACTCCTCAGTGGCAGTGTCTCCTTGTTATCAGAGACATTAACCGCCCCATCGATCACTGAGACCTCAGTAGGGGCTAAAAGGTCAATTAGCAATTCACATTTGGACCTTTAAGTGACTCATGATTTCAGTTAATTGCCGGATTATAAGCCAAATTCCTAATATCTAAAGCCTGCTCAGTATGGCCTCCAGCTGGTCTGCTGAGAGCCATAGCTCCCAAGGAGGAAGCTAAGGTGATTACTCTCCTGGCCACTGGTCCTTCTCTTCCACCTCTGTCTCAGTCTTCTCCATCAGCCCCAGCTTCGCAGGGCAAAAGGGCACATCAGCCTCATGCACCAGGCTGGCCGGCTAGGACACGAGGCTGGGCAGGGTAGGGAGCGGGGGCCAGGGAGGGTCATCACCACGCGATATGCAAACCAGGGGCTGCCTGACCAGTGAAGGACTCTATCTGCTCAGCACAGGAGCATAGCAGCACTTGACACTGACAGGATGATGTTCACTCCGGCCCCTCCCGCCTGTCCTGGGAGGGATCTGCTCTTCTGAGCTATAAGACAAGGAAGTGTAATAAAGGAGTAAGAGTTGGGAGAAGAAACCCTGATTGGCCTTATTCATGATAATGTGATTTTCTGTGTGCAGAAATCTGAAACAATCGAAACAATGAAAGAATTAACAAATGACTCAGCTAGTTCCTAACAGGCAGTAAATACCCAAGCATCAAGTACTGGATATGTCTGCAAACTATCAACAAAGCATTAGAAAACATCCTTTTTCAATAAAAGACAAATTTTATTTTTAAAAACTGCAAAGTAACTGAATACATTTAAAAAATGTATACAAACCCAGGGCCAGGGATTTAGCCCAGTGGCATCACGCCTGCCTCACAAATGCAAGATCCTGAGCTTGATCCCCGATACCCAAAATACACACACACACACACACACACACACACACACACACACACACACACCCTTTCTACATAAGTTCATAAAGCTTTGACATACATCAAAAAAGCCCTAGATAAAGGGAGACAAATGCAGAACGAGGACAACTTTCTCCAAGTTCATCTCCGCATCAAATGTATTTGCAACGAAACCGCAGGGTTTTCTGTTACTGTTTCTGCATTACACAGAGCAAGCTCCTGGCCGGCACATTCATATGTGTGACAGACTTCAGTCCTTTCACCTCGGTTTCCTCCCTTGACCTTCCCTCCTCCCTCTTAGTCCCTTCCTTTCACTAATAGACTTCTTTCTTCTCTAGGCCACCTTTTTTTCTAGATTCCACATCTGGGAAAAATATGATATTTGAAATCACAAGCTTTAAGACAAAATGTGAAGTTTCTTCTAAAACGTATGTAGAAAATGAGGTCCAAAAGTAGCCGAGACATTCACGAACAAGGCAAAAAAGAAAGCAGGGTTTTCCTGTCAGTTCCTATAACACGTGGGCCCATGGTGTGGCTATCATCTCGGTGTGGCATTGGCATCAGCTACATAAACCAACACCCAAAGGAGAAGAGGGGGCACCTCAGCCAGAGCCAGCAGAAACTCCACACACGGTGGGGCAGCCCTGCAGGCGAATGACAAGATGGGCAGCTCCACAGTGGGGTGCAGACGGAAAGGGACCAGCAGTGAGTCAGGCACAGTTCAGTGACAGGTAGAGTATAAACCCAATGCTAGATGCAGAACAAGAAGTATTTGAAAGCAACTTTCGCAGTGGGGTGGGAAGGGATTTATTGAATTTCGGTAGCCACATGCTCGGTGAGAGCCTGGAAAATCTCCCTCAGCTCTTCAACTTGAAAATCAGGAAGCCTGGGCTGGGGGCAAGGAAATTGTCCACTCCACTAGCCAGCTTCAGCCGAGGGCCAGGGGACAGTGTGCATCCTGAACCCCCTTGGTGCAGCGGCAGAGGGAGACGGTCCGCACCACCAAGGTCGGGAGGACTTCCTCACCAGCCGCAAGCATCTCCTTTATCAAAGTCCACACTCCTCTGTCAGCCTCACCGCTGTCTCCTCCCTACCACGAATGTCCTTACAGGGCTGCGTGTACTTTTCAGGAAATGCCCCTCTGAAGGTCACCTCAGAGGGGACACCACGCGCGAGGCCTCCAGAGGGAAAGATGTCTGCAGCGGGAAAGTTCTGACCTTTGCAGAGAGGTGAAATAGCCTCTGCTCTGGGCAGCCGGCCGCGGGGCTCAGCCCTGGTCATCAGGGCTCGAGGGGTGGGGGTGATGCGAGGCGGATGCAGGCCTGAGTCACGCAGCCCAGGACGGGGAATGTCCTGTCCACCAGAGATGTCTCCCACAGGTGAGAGTGAGTCAGCCAGCAGCCAGAGGCCTCACCCCGCAGGGCTGGGTGCAAACAACCAGGGACTTTTCCTTTGCTTAAGGAAACACCAGAGTGAAAAACTGATGTACCAACCCCTCAAGTGGGACTTCAAGTTTCCAAACTGAGGCATCCTGAATTCCTTTGGAAAAATCTTTTATTTGCTCATTTTTTTTTCTAACATTTTATCTTGGGAATTTCAGAAATACAGAGAAGTCAGGGGTGGTTGTCCCTTGGTGGTGCAGTCGTGCTTAGCAGGCCCGAGGCCTCGGTTCCATCCTCAGTACTGAAGGCGCCCACAGGCGACACAGCGCTGCAGGGAAACCGCGACACACCCCGCTCACAGCAGCCCTCGGCCTCGGCAGCTGTGCGTTCGTGGGCAGTCTCACCCCACTCACCTCCCCAAGCCACCCCTCCGGTGATTTCGAAGTAAACTCCCCATGTCATATCATGTGTCAGCGGAATTTTTACACTTGTGTTTTCAAGTTAAGCTGAACATTAGAATCCCACGCGTTATAGCTTCCCTTTCATAGACTCTGACTTGTCCTAAGCCACCATGTGCTTAGTGAGAGAGCAAGTTCCAAACCTCAGCGATCCTTCTCCAACAAGACAGATGTCCACAACTGCCCCCAGCAGTGAGATACACTGCACACGGAAGGCGATGTCCAGCTTCTGTAACAGGCTCAACAAAGATTTTCCGAAGCACTTGCTATATTCGAAGTAGCCACTAGGCTACGAGTAGTGTCTGCACCGTGCACAGAGCCTTTCTATTTCCTGGTGTCTCTCTGAGTTAGTATCACCCATGCTTCGCAGCAGAAGAAACTCAGCTGTGAGTGGTCAGCTAAACTTCTCAGACTTCTGCAGGTAAGCGTCAGCCTCAAACTGACTTCAGGATCCACGTAGGCTGTAAGTGCCGTTACCACCGCAAGTGCCTGCACACACAAAGCACGAGGTACAAATGCAACTTGTATTTTCCTATCTATCATGAAAAGCAAGCAGTTTTTTAGTAAGAGACTAAATCACATATGGATTCATGGACTCCCTGAAAAGGGCCGCTCGTGTCCAGCTTGGCCCTAACCACCAACATCTGTCCCCAGGAGGAAGGGGTCTGAGCGTCTGCGGTGTGACACAGAATCAGACACAGAAAGTCTCTCTCAGCAGCTTCCTTAAGAGGGAAAAGAAAATGCAGTAAAGGCATCTCAGAGATGGGGGGCTGTGCAAGACATAAAATTACTTTCTTGTATTTTCAAGGAAAATCTTCACTAATCCTTGTTCTTTGATGGTCTATGAGTCCTCTACACAATTCTGCTCAAGCAGAAGGAAGGAGGGGCTGGAATGACAACTCTTCACTCCCTTCATTCCTTAATTAAGCCTACAAAATCACCCCTGCTTTTACATGCATCTTACATTGTGAGATTTCTACCAAAATATCGAGGTCACCTTTTAATAAAACAATTTTTCTGCACACTGAGAAACAATGCACGTATTAATTTCTTTAGTTACCTGGAAAATGTTAATTTTGTGTATGCTGCTGGACAAGTGCTTCCCCGCATTTCTTTTGTGTGAAGACTTACTATATGCTCGTAGACAATCAAAATCAGCAAGCACATGGTAAAGTCAATATTTGAGGCTTAATATTTTCTAGTGAATTCCTCAATGGCAAACAACCTAAACAAATGCTTTTAAAAGTCAAACGTTATGATTTAAAATAAAAGCTAAAGATTCAGTCAGCTCTCTGAGCCTCTGCCAAACCACAGCAGGTTGATGGATTGATATTTTATTTTTGCAGTGAGGACTAAACTACCTTCCTAAGCTGTATTCCTAGCCATTTTTTTATTTTTTACTTTGAGATAGGATCTCAAAAAGTCTATAAATTGTCCAGCCTGGGCTTGAATTTGCAGTCGCCTTACCTTAGCCTCCCAAAGTGCTGGGATGACAGACGCTGACTACCACACCCGGCTCTAGTTCAACTTTCAGAGCTTCGTCTCCCACTGCAACCTGCTCTTCACCAAAGCAGCCCAGTGCGCACTAGGTCGTGATCTCTGCAGATCCAGGCGGCCCAGTGCCACACACACACACACACCCCGCTTCCCCGAAAGTAAGACCTAGCTGGAGATTAACCAACCTTGGAAGCTGGAGAGCAGACGCGCCAGCCCCATCAGCCCGTCCTCACCTTCCCTGCCGTCACTGCTGTCCTGCTCAGTGTTCTCAGCACAGAGCAGTGGTTCCACCTTCATTATCTCCAAAGTGAAATTCATAGCAAATAAAACATGCAGGCATAGCAATCTGCACTGCATAAGGATCTGTTTGAGGTTTAGGCAATGTTATAAGTGAACCTATATTATTATAGAAGAGACGTTCACCGCTATGAGAGTATGTCACGTTGTGGTGAGTGCATACACATTAGCCTGCTCACCCTCCTGAAAACCTGCAGAGTTTTCTAAAAGAAGAAAAGGAACAGAGAGAGAGAGAGAGAGTTGGAGAACTGGAAAGATCCATGGTAACTGACTTAGCACATCCAAGATAATTAAGGCAGTAGAGGAAGCCAAGAAAGGACCTGACCTCAACAGTAGTTAGCCAAGGTCGTGCAAATCACATTCAGGGACCTCTAGAAGAGGCAGCAGCTAAAGATTTGATTAAAAGTGTGTTGTCAGACTGTTCTTGGTTTAATCTCTGGATTATTACCCAAATCTTCCTGATATAATTGTGCCCTAGCTTCTGTGTCTCTAACGACCCACAGACATTCTCATCTTCATAACATCAGAGAAAACAGCTCATCAAATCAACCGCAATGCTTTACCCCAACTGATACAATCAGCAACACATTAAGATCAACACAACTTGGACACTGACCACCTGTGGTAGTCACTAGTCTATCACCCTTAAATCATTTGAATTAAATTGAAATCAAGAAGCAGTCCAGAACATGTCTGCAGTGAACAAAATTTCAATATAGTGTATTTACCATTTAATGGCTCAGACAGAGCGAGGATGCAAGACCCCTGATCTCAGTTAACTTATGGCTGAACCCCATAACGCTGACTGACCTCAGGCTGCAAGGCCCAGATTGAGTTCCCCAACCTTCTGAATGGTTGAATTCCGCAATGTTCTATTACAGGTTTCCCATGCCCTTTCTTTAAAGATGTTCAAAGTTGGGAACTCAGAAAAATACCCTTGATGACCACCTCTGCCTCTGCTGAGTGGGTCCAAAGACTGGCACAGTCAGGAGGTCTGAGAGTGCGGGGAGCGGTGGGTTATGGGGGTTCAGGGGCGCCCACGCGGCTACCTTCCCGGCGCTTGAGCGATGGCGGCTGGGTCGGGAGCAGGGGTGGTTCTGCTTCCCGCCGTGGATCAGGGCCCAGCCTACCTCCCAGCGCTTGAGCGATGGCGGCTGTGTATGTTTAAGTGTCCCTTAGCCCCTCAGGGGGGAGCAGCAGTGCAGAGGGTGGGGCTTGAGTTCCAAGGACAGCAGGGCTCGGTGAGGCCTCCTTAGTGCTGACAGCTCCACACTTAGTCCTCCCAATGCCAATAGCCTGGATTCCATCATCCAGACAGGAGACCCGGAGACCTAAAATCCACTCCAGAAGGAAAGATGACAAGAAGACACAAACGCAAGATGTCGTTGAGTTTTTCCCACAGCACAGCACTCCCAGATCTCCCTACAGAGCCACACCAGGCACCGGCCCTCCACCCAGTGTGGGAATGCCCAGCTGGGTCCCAGCCACCACCTGGCACCAGTCTGCCAGACCTTGGGAGAAGCCTGGTAACAAAAAACGGAGGTCAAAGCCAGCCATCTAGTAAGAATAAATGTAAAGGAAAAGAGAAGAAAAGGGTCTTTTTAACTATCATTGGTTTCCTCTGAAAAGAAAACAAAACACCAAGGTATTCTGCCCATGAAATGTGAGCACTGTTTGCAAGAGGTTTTTCTGAGAATGGATTTGTGTTTTAAAATTAAAATAGAACAAGAATTGTTTCAAAAACATCTTTGAAAAACTTTGGAACTATAATGGAAAAAAAAAATCCCAGAAATTACAGTGGAAAAAAAAAGAAAAGAAAAGAAAAGCAGAAGGTTAAACATACACACACAAGTAAAAATATTATAGGATCTAATTAGGGTACAAGAAAAATGACCTGAGAAAATGAATGGGAAATAACCTTAAAGAAATTGTGCACATAAAATCCTCACATGTGAACAGGAGTGTTCAGAGTAGGAGTCCCGAGGCATTCAGAATATTGTGCTAATTCTCATTACCTGGAAATTTCTGGACACTGGAGTCAGGCAGCAAGCTTCTGGCTGACTTTAGAGCTAGGGAGGACCATGTGACATGACAGAAGGGAATGGAGCACCCTCACATTGGAAAGGAAAATTGACTCCTGTCCTCGGCCAACCGTCAGTTAAACGCAGCATGGAGTGAAGATAGGCTTTAAGAGGCCAGTTCTCAAAAGCAATTGCCTCCTGGACCTCCTTTCCAGGAAAGCCATGGAGAAAGCCCTCCCCGGAGAGGGTGGGCGCAGCGGTGTGGACACTGCGTGGTTCACGTGGCTCCCTGGTGTCCGCCTGGTTTTGCGTCTCCATGGAAGAGGAGGCAGAGTTGTCCGGCCTCGGGATGCATGGCTCAGCTCACCCCGCAGGACAGAACCTGGAAGGAGGAGAGGGCAGTGCTGGCCTCTGCTGCAGTGCCCTGGGGCCACCCCAGCTTGTGCCAGGGCCAGCTCACTGGGCCTGGACCCTTCTGCCTGCTGCAGGGTTTCTCCAGTAAGGCGCTCAGGCTGGGCTGATTCTCCTCAGTCCGCTGCCCTCCCCTGTCGCTGCCCAGGGTAGAGCTGCAACCTCCTGCTGGTGCCTCCTCCTTCCCCATCTTTTCAGAGGTGTTCTCCCCAGTCATTCTCTTGCCCTTTGGGGTGTCTGTTCCTGGAGGACTCAAATGACACAACTCCAGCGTAGACAGTGAGTCTCCCCAACATTTCTGCAAGAAGACAGAGTCACTGGAGTCCCCGTGTATTGGATTTGACTGAGCAGTATCAGCACGGCTTAGGGTACAGCTGGTTGGTGATACTTGTATAGAGCACCAGGCCCCCTCCAAAAGGCAGTGGTGGGCTGGGGTTAGCTCAGGGGTAGAACCCTTGCCCTGTACATGTGTGGCTCTGAGTTCCATCCCAGCATCATAACACACATAAACACACACACACACACACACACACACACACACACACACACACACACCAAAACGAGGCATAGTTAATGTTAGAGAGGGAAGATCTCGTTTACTGCATGACTCAGCCTAAGTAATGATAATTAATAATGTAGAGAGTGAACATGAATCTAACCGCAGAATCAGAAAGAAAAAAGAAAGAAGGAAAGAGAGAAAGAGAAAGAAGGAATGAAAGAAAAAGAAAGAAACAAGAAAGGAAGGAAGGAAGAAAGAAAGAAAGAAAGAAAGAAAGAAAGAAAGAAAGAAAGAGGCAAAAGAAAGAAAGAAAGAAAGAAAGAAAGAAAGAAAGAAAGAAAGAAAGAAAGAAAGAAAGAAAGAAAGAAAGAGAAAGAAAGAAGAGAAAGATTCAAACCCGGTGTGTGGGGCACCCCTGTAATCCCAGCACTGTGGGAGGCTGAGGCAGGAGGACTCTGAGTCCAAGCTGGGCAACTTAGCAAGACCCTGTTTCTGAAAGGAAAGATTCATTGAAAGATTCATTGTTCACATTTCCCACTCACCCTGAAAACCCTTGTCAGCAGCGTTTATGCCTGCAACTTTCCCCCTAAAATAACGCGTGGCTCACAGTCCTAAGCTTACCCCAAATTTTCCCAGAAAAGATCCTGCTTTTGTTTTGTTTTGTTTTTAATCCAACTGGTTGCAGCCAAGTTTGCGGCCAGCACAGCGACAAGGACGCCAAAGAGCGCGAGGCAGTGGCGTTTCTGCAGACCGCGAGGTCCTCGGCTGTGCTTCGTGTTTTCAAGTTTATCACAGGGAAAACCGGGAAGCGTTGCTGGGCTGGTGCGTTTCTGTCACTTCGGGATTCACTTCGGCTTGTTCCGTTTTCAAGGACTTTGTATATTTTTTGTTCATGGTGAAAACCAATCAGGTTGGCTTCAGCCTCGGGCACGTGTTTGTGTGAGATCAATGGAGGGCCGGCAGGGGCGTTTTGACGGAAGTGGCGGAACTTTGCAATTTTGGAGCGGCTGATACAAAGCCAGGGGCTGGAATGTGGTGGGCAGTGAGGGAGGAGCCCGACCCTTGGGGCCCACACCGCTCGTCCTTCTGGGAGCGTCCCAGGGCTTTCCGTGAGGATCTCAGAGCATCCTGACCAGAGCGGCCGTGACCTTTGAGAAGATCGCTGCTCCCAGCTGACTTTGTAGAGGGGGTCAGGAGCGCGGAAGTGAGAGGGAGGGTCCCAGACGACAGCCAACCCTGGGAATCATGAGCCAAACCTGAAATACACACTGAGGAGCCACAGAGTTGGGGACAAAAGGCAAAGTCACCCCACTTTCATGAAGACGAGCTCGAATTCTCTGAAGAAAGTCCTCTAAGGGAGGAGGGTGTGGGCTGGGAAGAAGGTCTGGCCCTAAGGCAGCAAGAGGAAAGGCCCTCAGCCCTGGCCTCGGGGTGCTGGGGCCCCACCAGGAGGATGGGGAGATCAGGGCTGGGAAGGGAGCCCAGAGCCAAGCCCCATGGGCGAGCCCTGTGGAGGCCCCAGAGCTCAGGGTAGCCAGAAGGTGCAGAGGGAGGAGGGTGTGTGTGTGTGTGGGTGTGTGTGCATGTGTGGGTGTGTGTGTGCGCATGTGTGGGTGTGTAGGAGGCCCCACCTGACAACAGTGCAAACAGCCCTCTGGGGGTGTATGGCGCATCCAGCCTTGGGGAGAGAAGAGTCCAGAACCACAGACACCAGACAGAACTGACCAGAGTAGCTGCATGCTGAGCGCAGGGCTACCGGAGGTGAGCAGAAGACAGAGGCCCCATCAGAAGCCAGCCGAGGAGGGAGGCCTGCAAAACAAAACGGGGAAAATCACACCACTGCACAGAAACCAGAAATCAGCTGAACCTCTGGGAGTTTGGGGACCTTCCGTATCCACCTAAAAACTGTTATCACAATGGGTTTATAAGAAGTGTTCGATGCAGAAGACCAGAGAGTGTGATTTCTTTGGCTTTCCGTCATGAGTAGGGCAGACTGGTGCCAGGGTGACGTGTTTCTGGGTGGCCCCTCCTGGCAGCGGGTGGCCTCAGCGCGGATTGTTAGCCAGCCCCCCTACGGTGACTGCTTATCGCACTCTGTGACTGAGGTCTTTCCAGCTGCTAAAACCACTTCCTAAGTACAAGAAATGAGATGTTTTTCTCCTCAGGTAAAATGCAAAATATAAACATGAGCCCTGCTGAAAAAGGAGCTGAAGAGAGTTTTGCCACATTGGAATGCCTCCTTTAACAGCCTAAAAGTCCCAAGTTCTTTGTTGAAATGATGTTAACCATTGCTGTTTTTGTCTTCAGTCTGTCATAATAAAACAACATGAAAAGCATGATGGGAAAGTATTGGACTTTTTCACTGCAGCAGAAACAAAGTCATGAAATTGACTGCACTGGTCCTGTGATCCTTGGAAGGACATGTGGTTACATTCCACACATCTTTCTGCACATGGCTTTGATGGCTGCTGACATTAAATAATAGTAAATGTCACAAAAGAATGTTGACTGCTAATGAATGCTAGTTTATAAAAGTCAAAGTAGGGCATCGGAGAAATCACAGAAGGGTTGTGGCTTTGAAACACCTGCTATGGTTTATTTGGTCATCAGCTGCAGTCAGGAAATATTTGCTTCTTTTCTTTTTCCTGTCCCAAAACAATGCTTGTTAAATGGTACATTAAAGTATTTTAAAGGAATACTATTTTCTCTTTCATGGATTTCTTTACTTATTCATTTGGATGGCCGAGGATGTAGGATATGATCGTGGGTGAATTATATCCAAAGTTCAGCTCTCCAAGAAAATATATGTATTTCAGCTGAAGTCCCTGATTATAAACGATAAAAACTGAGTCCAGGAAACTTACGCAAATAAGCAAGCTGTTGGAAATACACAGAAGGGCCTACAGCTGCATCCGGACGAGGTGGGCCTGGGCCCATCAACGGCTGCTGCAGGCCTCCCTGAGCAGGTCCTGGCCCCTTCCCTGCTGGGTTTGTGGGCCCGCTGCCCGTGTCCATCCTGCCAGCAGGAAAAAGCCAACTTGCCCTCGGCCTCCCCTGCACCGCGTCCAGATGTGAAGCCCACCAGGCTGGCTCCCAGCTCGCTTCAGTCAACTGTCCACACACAAGGCAGGGAGACGAGACGGGTGCTTTGACATCCAGGGCTCTAGAAAGGACAGAGGACCCTGCTGCCATCACGGCCCACACAGCCAGGCCTTGCCACACCGGGAAGGAAGATTCCAAAGGAAAAACTAGGCCAGCAGCGCACAGCGCACTGCGATGTGAATGACCCTTCCTGGAGTGTGGGGTGTGCATGCCCTGCACATCCGTGCCTGGCGGCCTCTTCGTTCGCTGTCTCTGCTGGTGTGCAAAGGCTCATTGCGAACCACTACCCTGACTCCATGAGCTCCGAGTGGGTCCCAACCCCAGTGCCTGCAAAACGTCACACTGCGGCACGCGCAGGGCGCTGGGTGGGAGATGTGAGGCCCCTTTCTCAGTCGGCTTCTGGCTGAAGGCTTCTCTGCTGACTCCAGACCACACTGGCCCCAGGAGAAAGCGAATTCAGAACCTCAACCTCCCACGGGGCCTCCGACTTCTGTCCTGCTCCCCATGTGCTTTCCACTTGGACTCTGATGATCCTGTGAGGAGAGGGAGCTGGCCCCTCCCTCCTGCGCTCTCTCCTCTCCCCTCCTCCTCCCAGTGGAAGCCGGTGGGGCCTTCCGGGGGGGTCTTTGACCGAATATTTTCTAGGAGGTGTCCAGATATTTGTCTCACTTTCTCTTTTCTCCATTTAATAAGGGGTTTTAGCTTTTCTGGCAATAAAGCTGTAAACAAAATAGGGAATAAATCCGCAAGCTCATCTGTCTATGAACTCTCAAAATTCTTTTCAGTACTGGAGATTTGAACACAGGGCCTTCACACTGAGCTACACCCTCAGCCCTTTCCCTCTCTCTGTCTCTCTCTCTCTTCTTTCTCTCTCTTTTTTCTTTCTTTTATGTAGAGACAAGGTCACAGTTGCCTGTGCTGGTGTGAAAGTTGATTCTCCTGACTCAGCCTCCCAAAATGCTGGAATTACAGATTTGCACCACCATGCCCAGCTATGAACTTTCAACCTCTTGGCATAACCGGGCCTTTGCACTCAGAGACCAAAGTTCACTATTTGGGGTACCCTTTCTTTGGTACCGGGGATCAAACTTGGATCCTTGGGCTTGCAAGGCAGGCGGCTGCACCACTGAGCTAAATCCCCAGCCCTGGGGAACCCTTTCATGTGCCTTGCCTAATCAAGCAGAGATACTCCCAAGGTACAGCCATGTCTTAGTCTTCTTGGGCAGCTGTGACAAAATGCCACAGGTGGGGTAGCTTACCAATGATGGAAATATTTCTCTGATACTTCTGGAGGTGGAGAAGTCCAAGATCAGAGCACCAGCAGCCCAGGTGTATGGAGCACCCACTCCTGGGTGCACAGCCAGTTGTCTTTCCATTGTGCCTTTGCTTGGTAGGCGGGATGGTGAAGCACCACAGGGTCTCCTAGAAAGGCACTAATCCCCTCCAGGAGCGCCCCACCCTCACGACCCGATCATCCTTCCAAACCCTCGCTTCCGATACCATCGAGTTTCAGGATAGGTTTCGACATATGTGTTTGGGGAGGCATAAACATCAACAGTTTGTGCTTTGTGGGAGTTTGGGAGCATGGAAGAGGGAGGGCGATGAAGAAAGGAAGTGTGTGGATTCCTGCCCAGGTTCCCCTGGGTGCCTGGAAACCAATCCCGGCCAGCTCTTACGGGACGGGTGAGGACGGAGGTGCCAAACGACCGTGCCGGCATCACCTTCATCCTACAGGTGGTTAGAGTGGGAGGCGTGCACAGTGGACTTCTTCTAGGGAGTTCTCGGGCCCACAGTGCTTACACATCCGACGCGCATTCACTCAGCTGAGCGACCCACTGCTGTCTCTAGGGTTTTCGTTCAAATTGGAAATACAGCTGGGAAACTAATCACAAACATCATTGTGCTTTACTGTGAGTAAGAACTGAGCGGATCCAAAAAGCAGCACGGGGCAGTGGGGTGGAGATGAGGCAGGGTGTGTCTCCCCCTGGGAGCCCCCTTGCTCTCCACCACAGAGGCCCAGGCCCGGGACTCACACCTGCTCCCACCCCAGAGAAGCCTACAACCACCCTGGCATCTGCGGGTTATCACAGCTCCTCCCCAGGTGAACTCTGCTGGGAAAACACTACGACCAAAGAAAGAAAATAGGTGAGAAAACAGCGTGCAGCATCTCACCTGTCAGTCGTCTTTCCTACTGTTTCAGAGTCTCTATTATATTAATGTTTTCATTTTTTAACTGCATCCCCTAAAAGTGTGCTTTTCATGCCTAAAATGACCAGAAATTCTAAATGAAGTTCATCAGAAATCTATCAGAAAGAAACTGCCAAGATGACATTAACAGCTGCCTAGCAGTTCGGCAGGGCCGTGGCTAATTCCAATGTGTTTGGCTTACTTGCAAGTTGGAGTTCAAGAAGGGCAGCAAAGGGCAAGGCTCACAAACACTCGTGTGACAGAAAGGCCATGCAGAGTAGAGCTCACTCCCTGTGTGTGATTTCTATTGCAGGTATTTCTGAGACACTGCATGCAAATCTCCTACCACGCACTGCTGACCATACACTGTGATCACGGCCCCTTCCTTCTACGTAGCAGCTTATGTTTCTTTCTCTTTAACTATCTTGATGCATGCGGAACAAACATGCCTTCTTCTCTAACCCCACCAGACAAACAGGTCCTCACGAACTGATTTCATTCAAATTCTCAGGACACAGTAACCTGCAGTTTGCCTTCTGTTTCTCTGGTTCTCCAGCCTGCAGCCCCACATGCCTGGTTTTCACGGCACACACATTGGTTTCCGTTCCCTTCTTCTTTCACCACTTCCGGGGGAGGAGGGTGGTCTCCAGTCTCTCAATTCTTTGCTTCACTTTTTCCTCCTTTCTACTTTTTCCTGACTGAGCTACTTCTTGTATTTCTAGTTGTTACAGCAGTAAGCTTTTCCCTCTTCCTTTCCTGAGATCTGTGTTTGTCGGTTCATTACACAGGCACAGTATGTGCTTAGCACATAAACAAATGCAGGAGAACCAGAGTGGCCAGGGCAGGCTTTCCTGAGAGGCTTGGTGCAAGGCCACAGCTGGGTAAAGTGGCCTTTGCCACACACAGGGTGCACTGCACCCCGAGGCTGTTCCCAAGGCAGCAGCCAGCTCCGTGGTGGCTCCCTAGGCGGAGGAGGGAGCTGAGTGGCAGACAGGGCACCAAGGGCAGAGAGCAGGGAGGAGCAGGATAAGCACACACAGGCCTGGACACTGACCCAGGGAGGCTCAGAGAAGGACGCGGACAAGTTCACCCGGACTGGCAGAAAGGGGGTGGAGCCATCGCACTTGGGGGTGAGTGACACATTTGGAAAGATCACGCTGGGCTCTGGGGAACGGGAACGGACAAGGATTGGGAGTTAACAGTCCAAGCAAGGGCCTGGCTGACGCACGGCTGTGCGGTTCTCTGAGGAGCACAGGGGACTGCGCGTGTCGTCATGTGTGGCTCTCTTGCCCGAGGCACCTTCTTAGATGTGTCTCTCAAAGAGAAGTCCTGTTCTGTGGGGAACCGGGCACCATGATGAAGCTCAGAAAATGCAGGGGACGCTGACTTCTCACCACGAGCTTTTCCACCTTATACACCTCTATGTACACGAGACCTGTGGTCACGATCACCCTCCCCCAGGAGGCCACTGCAGGCCTGGGCTGCTGTCCCACGGGTCCCTGCTGAGATGCCCTGCTCAGCTCCTAAGGCCTCCCCCGGAAGCAGGCTTTTCCTTGCGTGTCTGTACTCATGCACCATCCCGCAGACTCCACTCCAGTTCCTTGTCAGTTATGGTCAGCGGCAAGGAACAATTTCTAATTTTGTTTCACTGATACGCTTGGTGAATGAGCAGCAGAGCTCTATTTCTTTGACACAGAGATATCTGACTTCGGGGAGGAAAGATCCTAAGAAATTCAAGGTCCAAAACTCCAGGCAAATCAACAGATGATTAGATAAAGAAAACGTGGTACTTATGTACAGTGGGGTGCTACTCTGCAATACAGAAGTATAAATTTGAGTCATTTGTAGGAAAATGGATGCACCTCAAGGTCATGATACTGTGTGAAATAAATCAGACTCACAAATTTAAATATCGCATGATTTCTCTTATACGAGAAACCCAAAGCCAATCAGTGAGAAGCCAGGGGTGTTCTCCAGGGGACCACAGGTGCTGGGCTGAAAGCTTCGTAGAGTTCGCCGCAGGGAACTCCTGGAGCCCAGAGCAGCCCTCCTGGGTGAGGGACTCCTGGGTGCTCCCAACTGGACCTGCCAGTCTCCTGCCTGGCAGGCGGCACGGGGGGTCAGGGCCCACTCTGGGCCTCCGCTGCTGTCCTTTGGCTTTAAGAAGGTGCTTCCTTTCCTTTGGGACCCTGTCTTTGCATGACAGCCCCGCCTCCTATGAAGCAAGCAGAGCTGCCGCATCCCAGACACTCAGTCCACCCAGATTCTTCCAATACAGCCAAGTCCTCGACTACCGACCACCTCTCTGGCTCTTCCTGGGCCAGGCTGTGCTCGCTCCCTGCCTCTGTCACATGGGCCTCGCCTCTCAGCTGGGTTTCACCATGTGGGTAGGTTTCCTAAACACAGCTGACCTCTGGAGTCCTCCTCCTTCCTCGCCCTCCTCTGCCACCCTCCCATGCCGCCTCGCATCCTCCGACGCTCCTGCCGCAGCCACCCTCTCTGCGCTTCTCCTGGGGCCCGTGTGCCCTTCAATGCACGCCCCATGCACGTGCACCCTCAGCAGGGTCACTGCTGGATTTCCACGGGGTCCCCACTGCCTGCCTCCCTGTGACCTTGCCCCTGCACCCAGCAAAGTCACCCTTGTCACACGGGGGTCACCTGCTCCTGGCTGCCTCTCTGGGGCACCCCAGCAACTTCCTCAGCACCCTGGCCATTTCTTCAGCGCCCCCAGCCAGTCTTCTCTCCCTCAGCTGCTTCCTGCTGCAAGCGCACTTACAGGCTTCACCTTCTTTCCTGGGGTGGCCCCTTCCTGTCCCCCGGGCAGCTGTGGCCAGCCTGTTTCGCTTCCCTGCTGAGCCACAGCCTGCACACGGCTGTTTGTGCTCATGTAACTTCCCCCACCTAAGGTTACACCGGCCTGAGCTGTGGGCAGTGTGCTTGGGGCACTAATCTCATCTGCAAAGCAGACTTCAGATAGTTTCCTCTTTTTTCCATTTTTAAAATAACAGATTGGTTCTTGGTAACTGCAAAAATAACACACGGGTGCAGCAGAAAGCTGGCAATGAAAATTCAGGTACTTTGTTGTGCACAATTTCCTTTCTGTTGCTTAAAAACTAATCTTTGAAAACCTCATATAGCTGGGGATCTAGCTCAGTGGTTCCGCCACCTGCCTTGCAAGGGCAAGGTCCCAAGTTCAATCCCTGGTGCCAAAAAAAAAACAAAAACAAAAACTTCATAGTCACGTCATACATGCAGCTGCTGACTCTTCCACCTTTGCGGTTTATTAAAACTCAGGCACTGTCTCCTGAGCGTTTTATGTGTGAAGGACCACGCTCTGGGGCAGCCTCGCTCCTCTCCGGTGAGGGGCTCTGGGCAGGGTCAAGGAAATCAGGCATCAAAATCAAGCGTCAGTGACTATGCAGAAAGCCGTGCATGTGTGTGCACATGCGTGTGAGTGTGTGCACACGCACGCGTGTGTGTTTCTCCTAGTGGACAGGGGCCCAGGCCACACTCTGAGGAAATGAAGGCACAGCCAAGGTGAGAATGAAGGGCTGCTCCAGGAGTAAGAACAGCCTGGGCAGCCACAGGGCAAGACTCAGGGGTTCTCAAGGAGGAGCCTCGAAGGCTAGAAAGGACCATGTGAGCCGGGCTTTGAGTTTGTATTTTATCGAAAGAGCACACAAGTCCTCATTCTGAGTGTTATATGGTTTTTGGATCAGAAAATCCTAGCTGCAGGGACACAGTGTGAATCAGCCCCTTCCTATAATTATTACAAACTTGGCGAGCGGTCATCTTTGGTAACATAAAATCCCTACATGGACGCAACATAATTCACTTAATGGTTTCCCTGCTGTTACTAACATTTTATCATTGTAAAAAAGTCAAAGGAATCATAGTTCGTTTGGCTGCCTGCTACCCAAACTCAGACTCTTTCTGGTGCCAATTGACTTGTTTATTCTCCTTAACTCCCTCTCTTTTCTTTGGTCCAATTCTAGTTTATACTTCATGCCTATAATCCAGTCCCAGTAGGGTCTACTTAGCAGGACCTATTAGGAATAACATCAAGACAGAAAGGATAAAATCTTGTCATCTGGAGAATGTAAGTGAACCAAGGGTCATTGTGCTAAATGAAATAAACCAAGCACAGAAAGACAGAGCCTGTGCGCCCTCTCTCCCACGTGGGCAGTGACCAAGTGAATCCAATGGACCTGGAGAGGATGCTGTGGTCAGCTGAGGCCGAGGAAGGATTGCAGGCAGGAGAAATGGGGAGGGCTGGTCACGAGGCCCAAAGTGACAGTGAGGTAGGAGGAATAAAGCCTAGTGTCCATCGCACAGCAGAGCGAGTGCAGCTAATGATGTATTGTGCGTTTCAGAGCAGCCGGAAGAGAGGAGCTTGAAGGATATCACCAGGAAAGAAGGATAAGCCTGAGAGGTGACAGGCTGATTACCCACTCTGGGTCATGACCAGATGTATACGTGCACGGAGCCATTGCCCTGTAGCTATAAGCATGTCCAGTTATCGTGTGTTAATTAAAAATAAGACAAATCTTTTAAAAAAGAAAGAGCACCAAAATACAAAGCTCTACCCAAGTGTGGCCGCGGGAGTGAATGTACCCACAGTCGCCCACAGTCCCTGCACTCTAACCGGAACACTCAGGATGAATGTGAGAAATGTGCAGTGCACTTCACATCGAAAATACAGAAGGGGCCCTGTGGACCACCTGGGCTGGCCGGGGTTAGTCCTGCAGGAGGAAGCACAGAGAGGAGCACACAGCCCGCACGCTCACTGAAAACCTGCCCAGCACTCACCCGGAGCATTTGCAAGCGCTTCCCCCTTGTCTCAGACCTGTTTTTAGTTATCCCAGCTCAGTGCTTAGTTGTCTTCAGTAAGCACAGAAGAGGAAGAAAATCAATAACACCCTTCTTGAGAAGTTATGCTATTTTCAGCCAGAGGTGTTGGATCCACAATCAGAGGCCTGTGCTAAAAGTTTTATTAAATGCCTACCAGGTCAGTCACCGATCTCTGGCTGTGGTGTCAAAGAGCCGAAATGTGTGTTGGGAGCTCCATATCCATCTGGGAAACTGGAGTCTCTCCGTTTCTGATTTGTTTCCTACTCCTTGCCAAGCCTTGTTATTTTGTCATCTTTCTGCACCAATGCTTCCTCTTAAATTAAATTTTATTCTCTCAGGGAACACCCTGTTTTCATGGTTTGTAATTTCTTGCTAACCAGACTGTGTAAAACCAAAATATTAAAACCCATGCTGAAGTTCATAAATTATCTGGAAATGCTACACTAATAATAATCCTTCTCCTTGCTCCTTTTTTAGCATATCATTAAACCTTCTTTCATTCATTCATGACAAATGCAGTGAATACTCAGGGTGTATGAGCTGCAGGATACACTGTAATCCACCGGACATGGGGGAAGATAAGTAGGAGTCCCGGTCCGGATTCAAATGTCAATCAAGAATTACAAAGTTGCCTGATTTCCTGAATATCTTACCAGGGAAGGAAAAAAAAAAAAAAAACCTTTGCACAAATTACAAAGCAAATACTGTCACAGTGGCATGCCTAACATAATTAACCCCTGGAGTAGGCCATTTGTAAATGTTTCCTCCTTTTGTGATTTCTGTGCATTCATCTTTAAGGAACAATCTCAAAGCTCAGTACTTACCATAAGCTGTTTAAGGTTTATCCCAGCTGTTTGCAGAAACCTTGTGTCTGATGAACCTCCTCTAAAACTTCATCCAAGAAAAATAGCATAACTTAGAAAATAAACATAGCGCACAGCAGAGAGCAAAATCTCAACAATGAAGCTTGGAATTAATTTTCCAAAATCAGTCTCTGGGGTATGCGCAACTTCATCATGAGGCTCTGAGGGACCTGGCAGAGATTTTCTGTTTATTGCCCACATTATTCAGCATTTTTCGTGGATGAGTTGAAATGACAAATGATGAATAAAATTTTTCCCATAGCTCCAAAGATATCACCCGAGGGCCAGGGATTTAGCTCAGTAGTTTGGTGGCCTGCCTTGTAAGCTCAAAGACCCAAGTTCAATCCCTGGTACCAAAAAAAAAAAAAAAAAAAAAATAACAGCGAGCATGCACTCTGCGACGGTGCAGAGAGTGCCTTGCAGAAGACCCCAGTGCGGAGCGGGCTCACCTTCTAGGATCTTGTGAACACACAGAACCTGGGCGTGCCTGTGACACTGTTGCTCATTTGAACGCTAGGGGTCTACACCCAGCCCACCCCAACCCACTGTTCCAATGGGTGTTTGGATATCAGCAAAAACCTTTCTGCACATAGGAAAAATAACCCTCTGTGATTATTTGCACCTGCTCCCCTTTACTATGGGCAAATCTGATCATTTCAAATATTTAATAACTGTGTGGAATATTAGGAATACCACCAAGAGGAGTTTGCTGTTCACATTTGCTATTTTCAACTTGATGTAATTTTCTTGTTTTTTGTTTTTTGGTTTTTTTTTTAATTTTTGAGACAGGGTCTCACTATGTAGTTGAGACTGACCTGGAACTCACTATGTAGCCCAGGCTGGTCTCGAACTCACAGCGATCCTCCTGCCTTAGCCTCCTGAATGCTGGCATTACAGGTATGTGCCACCATGCCCAGCTGATGTAATTTTCCATAAGACAAATAAACTAATTTTTAATTCTCTGAAAATGTGTAATAAAACCATCTCCTAAAATAACGGTTTAACTTTTATAAGTTCTTCCAACACTGCACAGTAATTTGAAGCTATTCCTGCTGACACCAAAAAGATTCTCTTTGTTTGCTCACGACATACCTGCCTGACAGCCACAGAAACAAAAATTTTGTTTAACAAAAAATGATCATTAGGTACAAATAATGTTATAAAAATTGCTTGGTTTGTTTTTCTTAGTCTATTTTCACTGGATGGATTTTATTAGTATTTTGAGGGAGTTTCTGCTCAGTTGTCAATATTTTGAATTTTCCTTAGTAAGAGAGTTTTGAGTCCAGAATTTCATATTCAAGAACATTAAGAAATAATTTCCACCAGATTTTAAAGCCAATTACAAAACTGGTTTCTTTTCTTTCATTGCTGTTATTGCCAGGGATGGACCCAGGGCCCATGCAGACGGAGCGCTTGCTCGGCTGCAGAATCAGACCCCAGCTCCTCATGACGGTCTTTGGAGATGCACTTAGTGACTACACAGTGGAGGGCCCTGCCCACCCCTGGGACACCTGGCTCCCTCCTCCTGTGAGGACCGGCCCCACGTGCTGCAGCAAGGTAAGAGGAGACGGCTAAGTGTCTCCCCAGCCTCACCTGCCGAACCTGAGCCTGTCTTCACCTCAGGCCCGCTCCGGCCTACATGGCCACTTCTCCTCCTACCTCTAGTCATGAAGATGTAAAAGCTTAGTTTCCCACCGGCTCATTTCTCTCTTTCATTCCCACATCTAGCGATTTGCATCTCCTCCCAATTTTTCCTGTGGAAAACATCTTTTGACTAAATTGTCTACCACAGTCTAAATCTAGGCTTGTGCTACCCCATTTCTGTAGTTA